TTGGTTCTTGCCTGGGTTTTGGTGTATTATATGGTGTGATTGTATGTTGGCTGTATGGTAGCAGTTGCTGACTCTTCTTGTGTAATGTAAGAGACAAAGAGTCCTCCAAAGGCAGAAGAGGGAGCATATAACAGCAAAACAAAATCAGCAAAAAAAAAAAAAAACAACAAAAACAAAGCTGATACTGCAGTCTCTATTCACAGAAAAGAGAGAGGAGAGAAAGAAGAAAAAGAAGGAAGAAAAAAAGAAAAATATATATATTTTTTTAAATTGAAAAAGAAAAAAAAAAAAAGAATCTGTATCCACTACAGCCCTCTCCTTCTCTTTGCTGTGTTACAAAACAGAACAAAAAGCAAACAAGAAAAGTTCAAGACCTGCTCTTGGGCTGAGTATCTGTTGGCCGTTTGTTTTTAAGTGGAAACTATCACTTTAAATTTCGAGGAGATCTATGCACATGCGTATTAGAACCCTCCAAGGGTGGGGCTGTCCACTAGCTCAGGCACCCCTATAGTTACCAGAATGGAGGTACGCAGACAGCAAAGGACCAACGAAAAGATACCAAAAAAAAAAAAAAAGAATGTTCACACTTCTATCTCTGCGACTCAGTCAGGCATCCGTGGCTGCTCTAATCCTTTCCCTGCTTGGCCCCACACAAAATGGTGGCTCTTGGAGCAGCTGAGTGTCCTGAACCAGGAAGCAATGGATTTCTTGCTTCTGCCACAAACTCCCCAGTTGTAAGTCTTCCAACCTTCTAAATATACTTTTATATGTGGTTCAGAGTTCTGGTACCATCCCCTGAGCCTTCTTGGTCCTGTATTCTGTATTGTTCCCGGCAGAGCTCATCACTGCACTTCCACCCGATCCACCATCTTGTTTTCGTCCCCCATGTGTGATGTTCTTGATGTCATCCCAAAACTCTTCTGGTCTTCAGTCTTTAGTGTTTACTGTATCAAATCTTGTCTTCAGGTGATCTCTAAATTCAGGTGGGATATATTCATGGTCATATTTTGGCTCTTGTGGACTTGTCATTTTCTTCAGCTTTATTTTGAATTTGCATATAAGTAAATTGATCGTCTGTTCCACAGTCTGCTCCTGGCCTTGTTTTCACTGATGATATAGAGCTTTTCCATCATCTCTTTCCGCAGTTGTAGTCAATTTGATTTCTATGTATTCCATCTGGCGAGGTCCACGTGTATAGTCGTCTCCTATGCTGTCTAAAGAAGGTATTTGAAATGAACAAATCATTGGTTTTGCATCATTTCTATCACTAAGGCCATATTTTCCAACTATTGAAGCTTCCTCTTTGCTCCCATCTTTTGCATTCCAATCACCAGTAATGATCAATACATCTTGATTGCATGTTTCATTGATTTCAGATTGAAGAAGTTGGTAGAATTCTTCTATTTCATCCTTACTGGCTTTAGTGGTTGAATAATAGTGGTATTAACTGGGCTTCCCTGTAGGCACATGGATATTATCCTGTCACAGACAACATTGTACCTTATGACTGATCTGGATATGTTCTTTTTGATGATGAATGCAACACCATTCCTCTTCAATTTGTCATTCCTGGTGTAGTAAACCATGTGGTTGTCAGATTCAAAATGGCCAGTACCAGTCCATTTCAGCTCACTAATGCCTAAGATGTTGATGTTGATGTGTTCTATTCTATTCTTGACAACTTCCAATTTTCCCAGATTCATACTTCATACATTCTATGTTCAGATTTTCAATAGAAGCCGGGATGTCTCTATATTTTGTTTCTCATACTTTGGACATTTTATCTGGATGGTAGATTTTTCATGATGTCCCTGGTGAAGGACGTCATGATAGGTAAAACGAAGGATCAGCAATAAAGAAAATGCCCCCCCCTCATTTTAATGACATGGACTGACAGACACAGTGGCAGCAGCATTGGGCTCAAATATAACAATTTTGTAGTTGATGGATAAATACAAAACTAACAACCAACATCACTCTGAATGGAGATAAACTGACAGTATTCCCTTTGTGAACAGGAACCAGACAAGAATGTCCCTGTTGATATAGTGCTGCAACTCTTCTTGAAATCGTTTCAGCAAAAGTTTATTTGCATATGATATTGTGTGATAATGTCTGCATTTTTTGGGGTCACCTTTCTTTGTTGTTGTTAGGTGCTGTCAAGTTGACTTCCATCTTTCGATTTCTAATCACTGATCATTAATACATCTTGATTGCATGTTTGACCAATTTCAGACTGCAGAAGTTGCTAGAATACTTGAATTTACTCAACTTTGTCTTTGGTGATTGGTGCACAAATTTGATTAATTGCCATATTACATAGTCTTGGTTTTATAGAATATTTTTCTGTCACTGGCAGCATTGTACTTCAGGCTAGATTTGAAATGGCTTTTTTTTTTTTTTTTTTTTACAATGAATGTGATTTCATTCCTCATTAATTTGTCATTCCTAGCACAGTAATTTTCCTGTTTAAATAGTATAGGAGCAGTCCATATTTCCACTCAGTAATGCCTAGAATATCAATCTTTATGCATTACATTTCCTTTTTGTGATGACTTCCAATTTTTCTATATTCACATTTTGTGCATTACATGTTCTGATTATTAATGAATGTTTGAAGCAGTTTCTTATTTTGAGTTGTAGCACATCAGCAAATGTAGGTTCAGAAAGCTTTGCTCCATCCATATCATTTAGGTTGAAATCTACCTTGAGGGGGCAGCTCTTCATCAGTTGTATTCTTTGTGCTTTCCAACCTGGGAGACTAATCTTCTGGCACTATATCAGACAGTGTTCCACTGCTATATAGGGTTTTCAACGTCTAATTTTTCAAAAGTGATCTAGCTCTTCCTTCTTTCTTGTCCCACTTAGTCTGGAAGCTCTGCTGATACCTGTCTGCCATGGGTGACAATGCTGTGTTTGAATTACTATAGTGGCATAGCTTCTAGCATCATAGCAACATGCAAACTACCACAGTACAACCGACAGACAAGTGGCAGTCACCTTGAGCAATTCTAAATTTTCTGGTAGTGTGCCTCCTTTCTCTTTTTTCCTCATATTTGTTGCAAGCTCCCCTGTGCTGGGCAGCCACCTCCCCCATGAACTTTTCTCTGGACTGGATCTGAGACCACAGGTCCAGGAGTATTCCTCTCTTTGGGACTGGATCTGTGTCCTGTTCATATCTGCTTGACTAAACAGGGCAAAAAGCAAGCACCTAATGAAAAGTAGCCAGATGCACTAAATGATGAGCTAAATAAGCATGCATGGCTCTTCTATGAACCTGAGCCAGACTTTCCAGGTTAGTTATGGATGGGAAAAGTCTAGGCACCCATCACACAGGAGCTGGACCTTCCTCAGGGGCTTCAAAGGGAGTATGTATTTGATGACAGTGCTGGTGATTGCCCACCAGCCTTGGGCAACCACCAGACATTCCCATTTCTCATGGGCAACCTGTGTGCTTGGCCTAGCCTTATCTGTACCCATTTTGCCTTTGGCCCATTCCTACTACATCTTCCTACCCTCACCCACCTCCCCCTGTTTCCTTTTCACTTGTGTGTTGATTTTGACCACTTCCTCTGGAGAGACCTCTACAATAGTCTTTGAAAGAATGACTCTTCTTTCTGTGTCTCCATGAGAGATGGCTGTGCCTCTCTCTTGGCCTTGGTCTCCATGTTCCTATTTACAAACCCCACACCATTTAGCCTATAGCATTCCTTCTCAGCAAGACCCCCCATCTCTCTGTCATGTACTCTTCTGCTTTCCCTGTCACTTCTATTTTCCTGCTCCTGCCTCTCTCTCCTCTTATAGAGCCATGGGATTAGAGGGACCAAGAGAAGGAAACTTGGGAGGAGCTGGTGGGCCAATCCTTCTGTTTAGGGCTTCCCCTTTGGCTCCTGGTCCAGCTTCCCCACCCTCATCTCCTTGTCTTGAGTCTCCTTCTCTGCCTTTACCCACCCTTCTCCTCTTTATGCCCTCAATCCCCTCTCCATGCCACATCTAAGAAGAGACAGCTGTGAGTCATCAGAGAGGAGTCTACTTCTGAGAGATCCACTTGGGTATAAGTGTGTATGCCTTTGTTTGCCTGAGTGTGTGTGTGTCACGCTGTGTGTGTGCTGAAGGGTGACCCAGGGATTATCTGCTGGACTGTGGAAAGTGGGATATGGTGGCTAGAGTAGGTTGCATCTGAAAATCAAATCAAATTACTAAGTTGGGAGCTGACCCTTGGTCTATCCTGGTTGTCTCCTCTTTCTAGAGTGAAGAAGACCAAGGCCAGGACTGCTTTGCTTTTCTCTTCAGTGTTCTTGGGCCGTGAACCCAGAAGATAGTCATGGAGGGTGGGGATAGGACTGCCCCTGCTTGACCCCCTCTCATGCTCAGCCTGCTCTTGGCAGCCAGAGTGAGGAGGGAGCCCCATGAGTGCAGTGTGAGATCAGCAAGGAGGGGTGTGGAAGCTTCCTTCCTTCTAGTTTTTGATTCTGCATCAAGCTTGCCCTAAGTTACTCCTCTTGGCTGAGTCCTAGTTAGAGGACAGTGAGTGTTTTCAAGGTTTTATGTATTCAGCGCTGTCTTTGGGGATGCCAGCAGACAGGAGACTTCCTGATGGTTGGGATGAAGTTAGCTGTCAACCTCTCAGGCTCTGGGTTTGGACTGGGGAGAGCTCTGAGGTATGGTGACTGAAAACTCTCAGTTTTGGCATTCTACCTCTCAAGATAACATTCTCTCCTCTTCTTCCTGCAGGTGCTCCAGAAGTTGGGCAAGGCGGATGAGACTAAGGATGAGCAGTTTGAGCAATGTGTCCAGAATTTCAACAAGCAGCTGGTGAGTGTGGGTAGCCTCTGGCTTGGGAAAATGGAATAGTGGTGGCTATGTGGACAATGTTGGGAGACTTGGGGAAGGGGCAGTAGGAAGAAGTTAGTACAGGTTTACAAGGTCATGCAAGATTTACTGGAAGAGGGAGCACTGACATTAAAAGAGGAAGTGGTGGGCGGGGAGTTCACTTTAGGTTCTTGGTAGGACATCGCAGGGTAGCGTGACTATGAGTGGGAGCCACTGATTGTGACCAGACATGAGAAAGCCTGATGTCAATGCAGAGGGGAGCTGTAGGTGCTTCTGGTGAGTTTAGTATGTGTTGGGCAGTCTGGGTTTGGCTTGAACATCCTCTGAGCATGCCTGTGTCTGACTGTGTGGAGACTCAAGGCTGGGCCATTTGTAAATGGTTTATGGTTACTTCCTTAAACCACTGTGAAGCAGATGGTATCATTGTTTCTCTTTTGTAGAAGAAGCAGTTGAGGCTCAGAGAAGTTGGGTAATTTTTCAAATATCATATAGCCTAACAAGTAGATTCACACCCATACTTATTTTGTTCCAGACCCTGGAAGAGATTTTAAGGGTATCATTACCAAGGCCAGGGGCAGTGGCAAATAGGGGCTTACTCGTTGTGGCTGCCTGTGAAACAAGGGAGGACTTTCAAATCAAAGGACTCTGAATGCACGTCCTGCGCTGTCTCTGAAATCTTTTCCCACAGAGATCTGCTAAGCCCCAAATAACCCCCTTCTGTGGCTGTTTCTGAGCGTAGTGGAAGCGGGAGTAAGATGACAATAGATTTTCTCCCTCCCTGGGAAGGGCCAGCGTTGCCTAGAGGGAGGGGTTGTTGGACCACCGGTGAGTGAATGATGAGGAGCAAGACTAGAGAAGGAGGCCACAAGGAATGTGAACCAGGATAGGGCGTGAGACCAGGTTGTAAGCTCTGCAGCTTAGAAGCAGGGAAAGGATGACCAGGCCAAGGTTTGGAAGGAACTAGGCCTCTTTGTAGTCTTTGTTCATATTGGAGGTCTCATAAAGGACTGAAGGTACCCACCGCTTAAAGCCTCTGCAGCTGAACTGGAATCTGGAGTCAGGGCTTCCTTTGCTTAAGCCCTGAAAGCCTGTTGACCAGGGGTGAAGAACCATGTTGGGCCTCAGCTTTCTTATCTGCACAATGACATGGTTGAACAAGAAACCCGAAGTCTTGGTTTCTGATCTGTTTCCCGGGTGTTACCCCCTCC